GCCCCCCCCCAACCCGCCTGCACCGGCCGCTCTCCCGCGCCGCTCTTCATCAAACCCGCAGTTCTGACCGTGACGATTTCAGGTGTGAAAAATATGGGTATTTTTCACTGTCTGGTTGAAAGTCCCCTTTTTGCAGAGTGTTTGAAGCAGGTGGAGATTGTGCCGGGGTTTTTAAGAAGTTTGGGTGGGTCTTTATGGGAGAAGGTGCTTCGAAAAAACTTCATGATCTTGTAGATTCGAGCCCTAACCAAAGCTGTAATTACACTGTGTTTTCCTTCCTTTAACACGTTCTCACCTTCTCCTTCTTCGCCAAGTTACTCACACCAGCATCCCTTCCTCCATGTTGCAGTTTGCAACCCCTTAACTCTGCTGTGATGATTACTTGTGGGCCTACTCTGCCAAACGGCATTTCTGATACGAGTCGATCTAAAAATAAAGACAACCAAATCCAGACAGCCAAAAGACAACAGCCCATTCATATCAGTTGATGGGGCAGTCCCACAAGTGGGAAGGTAGAACAGTTAGGCCAGATTTGCTACGCAGGAAAACAACCACAGCAGTACAGTGTAAGTCGGTCCCTGACTGACCCCCCACAAAGGTTAGTACCTGCTTGAAGAGTTGTCTACCTTTTGGCATTTGTTGTTTATTACTCAGATTCACGTTCAGTCTCATCCAGCCTTTGCTTTCCTGAGGGCTTGGGCTTGCAGCAAAAGCTAAATGAAAGACTAAGATCTCTCTCTTGTTATTTCAGAATACCTAGAACAGTTGCCTGCACTTTTGAGGGAGGCTCCATGTGGTATGTGACTGAAATCCTGCATAGCTGATACCTGTAACGCAGAAATCCTTGGATAGCTGATACGCTGCACCGAATCCTGACACCTCTAACCTTCCAGATCCAGCCCAGTGTTGTTGAAAAGCAGTACCTTGGAAAGGCTTAGGTGTAATAACAATGTGTATTTTGGGAGGTTTTCCTGCTAGTCCTGAATAGCTCCAAAAGCAGCCCAGGCTTCAGTGGGCTTATCTGTCGTGTCAGGTACCTTTCAATAGGGGAATCTCAATCTTCCACAACAACCACAGTAATTCAGTAAATATGCACAGCATCAGCATTTTTTAGAAAGCACTTAAATATTAAAGGATTCTTGTTAAAACAACATATTTTGTAAAACAGTGTCTTTAACTTCAATTTTAAAACCTAATCCATTTATTTCACAATACTTTATATTCTCATTGTAAACTTTTATTACATAATAGTGAAGTTAAAAATAATTGAGTAACACCAGAAAGTGACGTTCACTCAGAAGAGGGGGGAAGAAATATTCCTCCAGCTTTGTTGCATCAGATAACACTTTTTAAGACAGACAGATAGACAGATAGATATTTATGTATGTATCTATATCAGGAAAATGGAGTACTGTCACTCACTGGCTAGTAGAGATTTGTGCAATTTGTTTGTAACTAATATCCCCATGAATGTACTAATTGCACATGTAGAGCCAACAATTTATCTGCAACAGGATTAAAGTGACAAAACTTCTACATATAACTATGGCTAACTTCTACACAAGCTCTTCTTGTAGAAAAATGTTTCTTAAAAACAAAACAAAAAATAAATCATCTTCAATATAAGTCACGTTTGGTCACATTTGAAACATGGTCTATTGCACTCAGTATCTTTCAGTAGCATGTGCTTTCTGAAGTGTGTTGCACTGGACACCCAAGATTAAACTACCAAAAATCACCAGGTATTTTTTGAAAAATAGACCATAAACTTAGTAAAAAGAAAAAAAATTACAGTAACTCCTACATTTTTTAATAGTCATCTCTTTTATGAAAATTATTTCACACTTTCTCACTGCAATTGCCCACACAGTTTCTTTGCTAGAGAAAAAAATATCACTGCATCTCTAAGAATACCCTGTTCACACAACAATTAAACACGTATGTTCTAACGAGCCATACGCAATAAATATATCTACCTCTAAATTTTATTCTTTATATTCTTCTCAAATCTCTATATCTAGTAGATGCAATGTATGTAGTCTCCTGAGATATACGTAAATGCCAGTAAAGTAGCTGCTTGTGAGGAATAAGTGATAGAAATTTTGATATCTATAATATTTAAAATGGGATTGGACAATCAAAGCATAAGGATAAAAATAGAATCAGAAGTTGATTACATTATTTGTTACTACCATTGCTATGCTTGCACATTAATGGAGATGCATGGTGCATTACAAAAGAGTGGTAAGACAAATACCTTTTCCTGAGATGCTCACAGGGATTAGTAACAGGACAAATACTAACATTTAGGAGTGGACAAAAGTAAAGTGGATGTCCATATGCCGGTTTTAAAATATTTGAGCTAGGGGTGAAATTTAACTTTAGAGGTGATAATTAACTTTAGAGGTGAATTCTTACAAATGGTTTTCAAGAAAGGTTTGAAAAAAGATAGAAATGGTTACTGCTCAAAACACAACACAAGGAGCTTTGGTAAACCCAAAGAGATACATGGAAAAGATATCTCTGGAGAAGGCTGAAACAGCACAGAGAAAGGAAGGTGCTGCTCTGTCACCTATCACTGTACAGCTGTCTTTTCAGGAATGCAGTGATGGAGTTTATGTTAAAACCCAGAATCATGGTCTTAAGTGTTGATACGTTTTGTTCCAAGATGAGAACAAGACCTTGAGTTCCCAGGTTTCACCAGGAAAAAAATAACTCCCTGAGGGATAGCTGGGCTTCCACATGAGATGAGGAACAAGAGCAGGTGATCACATTTAAATGACACAATGATGTTAGAAATTCACATCTCCCAGTTCCCCCCTGCCTACATTACTACTGAGAAGAATATGATTTGGTTTTAAAGCGGTTTGGCGGTAAAAATCAGACATGCTGTCAGTCAAACTGACTGACACACTTTCACAGTGAATTTCCTTCACAGTGAGAAATGTTTTTGCTACTCTTCTTTGGGGAGGGGGAAGGCTGGAACAACTCTTGATGCATTTGAGGGCTAAGAATATTAATAACAAGAATCTAAATCCCAATCTGCATTCAAATACAAGAGAGGAAGAGGGCTGAAAGACATTAAATAGGTTTTACATGACCACAAAATGTAATGTCAACAAAGCTGTAAATAAAATGAAATGGAATGTAGCAAAAGTATAAGCATCTGCTCTGATGTCCTTGCTGCTCACTTTGGGGCCTCTCCACTTTCAACACTCTATTTTGGGGCTGGATATTGCGCATAAGGCAAGAAAAGGCAACCCTACAGACACAGGGCTTAGCTCTGAGCTTTGCAGGGTGAAAGCGGCAGTACAAAAATGGAAGACGTTTGGTTTCGGAAACTGAACTGCTTCTCAGAGGGTGCTGGCTGGCGGCAAGGAAGCTGCTGTTCTTCATGCTCTTAGTGGGAAATGTCGTAATAGTAGTCACGTAATCGCAGCTCGACTGCAACAAATCCTGGTCGGTCATCAATGCTGTGGAAAGACGACAACTATCACTGCCTAGGAAGGAGAAAGTTGTAAAGGTGCGTGGGCCTTGTAACGCTTGGGACTTTACCTCAGTGATAGCTCATTTAAAGCTGCTCACAATATTTTAAGGCTACCAAAATGATGCTATAAATGAATACCAAGTGGCAAATGTCACTACAGAACATCCTGTCAGTGGATTTACTATCATGCCTGTTACTTTGTGGTTGGTGAAGGTTCTACAAGAAAGAAATGGTAAATCAGCTCCATTTCATTTTCTACTTCATTTACTTCAGCAATAATCTAGAGAAAAGAATACTTACAGTGCAATATCTGCCTTATAATGGGTACTACAGTCATACAGAGTGGCTTAGCACCACTGAGAGGAGCCTATGCATACGCTATATGGCTGCACTTTCTTTCCTCTGTATCTGCAACTCCTTGTTGATTTGGGAGAACACAATTAAACTGACAACAAGCCCTTACAACAATACATTACATTTTGAGATAGTTACACTGCCTGACTTGAGCCTTCTTTTTAAACTTTTTTTTCTTTTTCTTTCCAATATTGAAGATATTTGAGTACAAACAAATAAAAAGCAGCATGCTTTATGATATGCTTAATAATCATAACAAAAAATGATACCTTTCAGTCTAGAACTGTTACGGCATTCTTTGAGTCAAACCAAAAGGCAGAAATTATTTTATGGCTCCACATTCTTTCTAGAGTACTAGGTGTAATAAAACTAACAAAGAAGCAAGGTACTTAAAAGCGAAGTACCACAGCTCCTTAAATGGAACCCAGAGACCTTTGTTGGACACATACCTTGCGCAGATGGTGAACTGGAAGAATAAGTGACATTACAGTAGACTTTGGGTGCTTTATGGAGACCTTCCTACAGCTAAAAGTAACTTTAACAAAATAGCTTAAAATGATAAATCATAAAACATTTTTAATAAATTTTTGCAACATACTAATTAAAAAAGAATATGAAGTAGGCTTTCTTTTTTTTCTTCTCTATATTTCATAATTCTAACTTCTGAATTATTACCAATCAGAAAAAATGTTTCTGACATATTAGGTATGATCTGAAAAGATGTTTGTTTTGCCTCTCATTAATAGGAAGTCAATGTGGGACCCAATCTGAGTATATTCAGAAATGAGAGAAGAGAAAAATAGGTCAAAACAATTAATTATTGAGGAATGGAATGAATAATTTGGCAATATGACTTTGAAATTTTAATAAAGAAAAAGTCTTGGAAATGAAAATTAAACAAAATACAATCTAAAATGAAACAAAAATATTTGCTTAATTTTAAACTTTCTCTTCAAAATGCATCAGACCTACCTTTTTGTGGAATGACTTGCTTTTTATGATACCCTATCTTTTGTTCCAGCAAAATCAGCTGTACAAAATCAGCTTCTAGCAGTACACTCAATAACTCAAATAATTTTCACTCAAAAGTGCCACTGAATCCTTAATTTGGAGATTGTTTGTAAGCTAAACACCAGCTGAAATGATGTATTTTGCAATACGCTCCCCCCCTTCCTGGCTATTAACTAAGTAGATCAAAATACACTTCTATTTAAAAAGAGAGAGCACCACATCACACTCACTTGTATGTCCAACACAATTTCATTAGATCATAGACTTCTGTTGGACAGACTTCAGGACGTTCCATCCGTTCTCCTCTTTCAATCATCTGTGCAACTTCACCACCTTTCATTCCCTGGAACAGGGTGACCAAAACAGTCATCCAAGTTGCAAATGATTACAGCACACGTGCTAGTATAAAACAAATAGAGGCTTGGAGTTGATTTTTGGGCTATCCTTTGACTCATTTGTTGCAACAGATGGGGCACTAAGGCTTGCTTTGGCCTGCAATAACCCCTTTTAAGTAGGAAAAGGTATTGGTTCAAATTTGCTCTGAATTTTTACAGAAAAAAACCTGCCAGGTAGAACTACTCACCTTATATGGTTTTTGCCCATAAGAGAAAGCTTCCCACATTAAAACCCCAAAGCTCCAGACATCACTTTTGCTAGAAAATTTGTAGAAATTCATGCATTCTGGAGCATACCACTTGACTGGCCATTTTCCATGACTTTGTGCCTAAAATGAGTCATAACAGAAAGGAAAAATAGCAGGCTAGAGACAGTGGTAAGTAGTAAACAACATCAGAATTCATATAAGCCAAGTTAACTTAGATCCGCACACATTTGTACTAAGGACCCTAACATTTCTGATGCAGTTGGCATCAGAGAGAATGGGTAGCAGCTTCTTCAGAAGCGTTACAAAATTGTTCCTAATCTTCCACTTTCAAAATAATGCACTGAAATATGGTAAAGCAAAGCTTAGCTAAATGACCTGGTGTCACGTTTTTAGTGGCATTTAATTTAAAGTTGCTCTGTAAAAGTGAGATTTTTCAACTAGGCTCTCCACAGAGGGTAAGAGATACACATCCAGCTACACTGAGTCTCATTATTACTTGAAGTTGATGCTCCGTTTCAAAGCACAGCGACCGCCTTGCAGCAAAATGCAGTTTGAATAAATTATGCCATAACACTGTGTTACGACAATGCAAGTGTCAAGCTATCCCAGCACAGTGCTAGATCTAGTGAAAGAACCCCACTGCATTTTGTGGAGTTGTAAAGGGAATGGGCCTTTGATACCAATTCTCAAACCTCTGATAAGCAGCTCTGGCTAGGCTAGTGGCAGTGATTTAAGATGTTACTGCCTTTTCTAGCAGCAGCTACTATTCCCATAGGAAGGTCATCAGAAGGGAGTATGTGCTTGCTCCGCCTTTGCAGTGTTTCATGGTCTGGCTTACTAGTTTTAAACAGCTGATGAAAGGGAATAGACAGAAGGAAGAAATAATTTGAACTGCAAGAGCAATATATCAGAAAAAAAGAGGCAGACACGATTAGAGCCTTTGTCTCCCACGAATGTTTTTACCTTATTAAATGTGGCAGTTATTTCAGTCCCTTTAGCTGTACAGAGATCCAATGAATTTAAAACCAAGCTAAACAAATTCTGCTTAGATCAAATGATTATTTACCAATGGTATTCCTTCAAAAAACTCCCCAAATTCAGTTCTATGAGTCAATAATACAGTGTGCTAGCCTAAATTTTCCTTGGATATGGTGAAAACTGTAAATGCCCAAAAGTTCGTATCTGCAACAAAGACATTTCCCCCCTTTTATATGAGGGGGTATCTCATTTCCACCATAAATTTCAACCTTCTAATGACAAGTTTACTAAAAGTAACTGAAAGAGGTAAGCAAATAAAAGAAGGCACTAGCTTTTTCCTCCCTACACATCTCAATGTTGATCACGCATTTTGAAAATCAGTGACCTACTATCAGGCTATAAAATAATGGATGATACATATTATTTCTAATTTTCAACTATGCTACTATACAGCGTTCAAGTCTTGTGCAAACCTTACCTTATAATAATTTTCATCAGCACTAAGAGCTTTAGAAAGTCCGAAGTCACTAATTTTGGCATAATGTTGGGTGACTAATAGCACGTTCCTTGCAGCCAGATCCCTATGAACAAAGTTATTCTCCTCCAGGTATTTCATCCCCATGGAAACCTGATGTACCAGCTCTGTTATATTCTTCTCCGTGACATGTCTGAAAATCATAATTGAATTTTTAAGAGGTCAGGAGTTCATTTTCATGACTTTTCATGGAGTTCAAATATAAATCTTTATTATGAACTTCCCCACATCATACTAGGAACCTGATCCACTTATGTTTAGCTAAGCTTTAATTAGAACAGGCAGCACAAGAATGTCCTGAGCAAGATGATGTGTGATTATATCAATAAATGAGCAATTGAAGGACACGTGAAAATTCTTTCATTTATTCAAGATGCACTATTTTACCAGAAATATTCGGCAGTTAGGAGACATGTACAAGATAATCATGTCCCAGTGAAGAGTAGCTACAATGATTAATTATTACATTAACAACATGCCAATTTAAAATTGCCCTTAAAGAGGGAAAAAAAAAAAGGACCTATATCTTTTTTCCCCTTTGGATAGATCCTATGAAATGAAATCAAAGCTTACATACCTATTTTTTTGCAAGAATTTGTTTAATGGGCCAAGCTCAGCCATTTCCATTACTAACATCCAGGCCTCAGCTTCACATATGCCAATCATTCGGACAATATATGGGTTATCCAGTTGCTGCATTACATTTGCTTCTCTCAGTAATTCATCCTTTATGGCTGGATCATTACTCTCATTCTTAAGAATTTTTACAGCCACTGGCTTGGCACCCCTACAAAAAAGAATCCAGTTCTGGGATTAGTTGCTGAAAAATATGTGTGCAAATGCACACTATCTTCTTCTGATGTTTCTGTGCACATAGTACAAACTGTGACAAAAGACAGAACTGACATTCAGAGAGGAAAAAACCTGACTGTAACAGTAACATCTCTCTATCAAATGCCCAAAAGACAGCTAAGCCAGAGAGAGAGAATGGAAAGAACCTGAGAAAATTATAGTCATAAAAACGTCTTAACAAGCCTGAAAACAAATGTACTGGACAAAATTTTCTTGCCCATTCTGGCAAGAATGCCATAAAGCTTTTCTGGCAAGAAAAGCTATAAAGGCCTTTCTAAGCACTGAGGTGTTTTGGGGATGAGACTAGAACATGCAGCATTGCAAGACCCTAAGGCAGTGCTCTGAAAGCCTGAGAAACTAAGCCTACTCCTGCAACCTTCAGCTCGTACAGCTAAGTAAAAGAGTGACTGATAAGATTGACAGAGCTTAAGTGTGAAACAAGATTAGCAAATACACAAGCTGGGACCAGAGTCCTTCAAATCCCCCCAGACTGTACTGGAAAACGATAAATCCTTCCTGGCTCTGAAAACCTTGGTTAAAAAAATGCCACCAGCTTCAAGTGTTGAAAGCATATATGTAATCAGCCCAGGCACTTAACGAACTGATAACTTTTTACTATGAAAATGCACGAACAGTCAGGTGCTCCCACTTCTGCCAGTATAAACAGGGTCTGTTCCTACTGCAATTACATGATAAAAGAGGTCACAACATGTTCCTGAAAATCAACATTCCAGCTTCATGAAACAGGTATTTATCATACTTATTTTAGGTGAAAATCTCTTTGCTACAGGTAAGCTGTCCATAACACTCTACACTATTTCTCAAAGAGAGGTTGTGCAGATGGGAAATACTGAGTAGCATGACTGCCCATACAAACTATGGAGGAAGGCAGCAGACTTCCCACTCTACTATTCCCGACATGAGAGAAAATAGTCATAAGGGGCACTTTCCTACTTTACAGACAAAAATAATGTCTGGGAGGTGACTATGCTGCAGGCAAAGAGGTGTCTGCAAACAGAGGAAAAGAAAATGAGTGTATAGAAAATGAGTGTATGAGTGTATGTACAAAGAGAGAAACCAGTGAATGTTAGCCGGAATTACTTACGTATAGTCTGTCACCCCAAATGACATGCAAAGATTACTGCTGCTCCAAAAAATAAAGGCTAGAGCTTTTACATATTAGTTTCCATGAAAATACAAGGAAACACTTACTTTTTCATCTTATAGAACCCTTTCTTTACAGTACCAAAGTTGCCAGAGCCAAGTTCTCCTTCCTCCAAGGTTAACAAATTCCTGTCAAGAGTGACATTTTTTGGTTTCATTTCATCTGGATCAGCATATGGACTTTCATAGACCTCAGTATCCATGGGTAAGGCCTCTCTCTGATCACCTGCAGTTCAATCAATGAAAAAATTAGATGTTATATGAGACATTTTTGCTGCCACAGCTACTATATTTACCCTTTCTATGTTCAGGATCATCAGCGTGTTTGACTTAGGAGGGCATTATAAAGAAACCACATGCAGTCCAACTACAGGCACTTTAGAACACCCCAAAAGAGAGTGACCTCCAGCTGGCGACATACTCTAACTATTGAGCATCTGCATAATGTGAAACCAGGAGGTTCCTCGACAGAAGGAGGGTTAAAGGCTCGCCCTTCTCCTTAGTACTTCCCATTAGTTACCTCAGAAAATTCTTCACTCAGAATGCTGCCTTATATGTAGTTCATTCTTAGGCACCCATCCTTAATTGCATTTTACAGAAAGCCAGAGCACCAGCTTGGCACTGTGGCTGCAACAAGGCACAATTCTTTTTATGTAGTGAAAGGGTGCAGCTTTTAGAGTCAAGGAAGTAATAATCTTTCAGATTATTAAAAAGGGATTTCTGCTAAATGATTTTTTTTACAGATGGTGATGTCTGGCAGTTCAGCTACCGGGCTGAGCTATGATAGTGGCTATACCAATACACAACATGGTGTGAAATATATGCAAGAAAAAAGAAATATGGGTTGAGAAGAGATCTCTGGCATAAAGAAGGAAATTTTATTAATGACATAAATTACTCTGCCTACCTTTTTCTGCTCCTGTAAGACCTCTCTTCCTTTGCAGCACATAAGGATTAAAAGGTGCTTCATCAGGTGGGTGGCCAATAGTTGGCTGAAGCTGTACCACACAAATAGAGTTTTTATGTTTAACAATGAATAGGTAAGTTAAAAGCATTTTTTCCCCTGAGGATTATGGCATAATGATTGCAAGAGACATATAAGTGAGAATCAGAAAGTAAGAAAGGGATCCAACAAAGTTTATTTAATTCTGGAGGTTATTGCTTGAGTAAATATGCAGGCCAAATGAAACATACAGTGCTAAAGCATTAAAAATTATTGCAAATATTTCAGAGCATTTGATCTGAAAGAATTAACTGGAATGGGTCATGCACAAATCTTATTCTGCAGATATTAAATTTACATGCTCTTTTGAAATCTGCCTTATAACACAAGTAGTCATAAGGATTTCTCTTTAATCTGTCCTTCCTCCCTCTCCAAGTTCTCTCTCTCTCCATATCTAGGCCATAGTGAAATTCCTAGAACAAATGAAAACAAAAAATACTTCCCTGTTTCTCCTAAGAAACTGGGGTAAAAAGTAATTATTTTAATAGGCTTGTGTAACGTCATGGACAAACATCATGGACCAGATACTAGGCCAGTCTGTCTGCTCTGAGAAGGGAGAAAATGACCTAATTCTTACTGTACTTGAACATCTGGTTCAAATACAATCCCTCTGTCTTTACTCTTTGTCAGAGGAATACTATGGAGCACACAAACCACCCCAGCAGAAACACGGTGTGTTCTGGAGCTTCTTGGCTGAAGTTTGAGCCTGGCACAATGAAGTATAGATGAGAGAAACTTATAATCTGTTCTCTTCTGTCTGTGAACTGTCAGGAACTGGGAATTACAGAACTTTTTTCTGCGGTTTAGTCCCTTTTTTTTCTCAGTGTAGAAATTTTACTCTACTCATGAGTGACCTCACCCCCCTAAAGAGTGCTTTAAAAACATCGACACAAGTTTGCTCAGCTCAAATAGGAAACAAAGGTATATTGTACTTACAAAACACTGGATAGGGCTATTTTGCAAATATTTGCATATATAATTCTTCTTTTGAATAACTGAAACTTTCAGTGGCATAAGTTCCTGCCTGAAACAGTTGCGGTTTTCAAGCAAAGAGAAACAGAGCTTCAGAAATGTCCAGGAGTGAATTATTGGGTGCAATAGAAGTTTTATCAGTTGGAAACTGCATTTTATAGGGAAAATGCCTGACCCGGGTGGTACAGACCTTTAAATCATAATGAAGTGATCTGCCCAGTTGGATGAAGCAGAAACGGTTTCACTACATAGATTTTACAGCAAACCCCGAGTAGGAGGCCAGCACTCGGCAAGATTCTGAACTAGTGGGATGAGCATGGTGGCATCAGGGATGGTAAGGGTAATGTTTCTGACTTGAATTGCTCAGTCTTGTAGAACAGAGTTGAAAGGCCATTTGCTGCCAGGGCAAGCCACAAGAGCCCTGAGACCGTTCTGAGACAGATCAGAGATCAAACTGACCTGCCAATCTCACAAACAAGAAGGCAAATGAATGGTATAAACCAAGATATACAGGAGATAAAAGAAGATATGGGTGGGAGTGTTGATCTGCTCAAGGGTAGGAAGGCTCTGCAGAGGGACCTGGACAGGCTGGATCGATGGGCTGAGGCCAATTGTATGAGGTTCAACAAGGCCGCGTGCCAGGTCCTGCACTTGGGTCACAACAACCCCATGCAATGCTACAGGCTTGGGGAAGAGTCGCTGGAAAGCTGCCCAGAGGAAAAGGATCTGGTGTTATTAGTAAATAGCTGGCTAAATATGAGCCAACAGTGTGCCCAGGTGGCCAAGAAGGCCAATAGCATCCTGGCCTGGATCAGAAATAGTGTGGCCAACAGGAGTAGGGAAGTGATCGTGCCCCTGTACTCGGCACTGGTGAGGCCGCACCTCGAATACCGTGTTCAGTTTTGTTCACTACAGGAAGGACATTGAGGTGCCGGAGCGTGTCCAGAGAAGGGCAACGAAGCTGGTGAAGGGTCTGGAGCACAAGTCTTATGAGGAGCAGCTGAGGGAACTAGGGATGTTTAGCCTGGAGAAAAGAAGGCTGAGGGGAGACCTTATCGCTCTCTACAACTACATGAGGGAGGTTGTAGCGAGGTGGGTGTCGGTCTCTTCTGCCAAGTAATGAGTGATAGGACGAGAGGAAATGGCCTCAAGTTGCATCAGAGGAGGTTTAGATTGGACATTAGGAAAAATTTCTTCAACAAAAGGGTTATCAAACATTGGAACAGGCTGCCCAGGGAAGTGGTTGAGTCACCATCCCTGGAGGTATTTAAAAGACGTGCAGACGTGGTGCTTAGGGACGTGGTTTAGTGGTGGACTTGGCAGTGCTCGGTTAACAGTTGGACTTGATGATCTTAAGGGGCTTTTCCAACCTAAACGATCCTATAATTCTATGATTCTAATATCTAATATCTAATAGCTCTAGTTTTGTTTTTCTAGCCTGGTACACCTTGCCAGGTCTGCAAGTTAAGAACTGTATTTCCAAGACCTATTTCATACACAGGCCATTCACTAACTCAAAAAACCCCACTAAGATTGGAACTCAATCCTAAACCTCTCAAGTGATGGGCTGGCAGTTTCACTGTGAACACTTAGGACAGTTTTTCCCTATACTGTATCAGGATATATAGGAAAATGCTTATGTTCAGTCAAAAATATTAATCATCTTTTGCAAAGCAAAAACAAATCAGATGGAACCATACTTACTGAGACCACAGTGATTTTAGTTTGTGCATTTCATATATCCTGTATTGCTTCAGAACAGATCAACACTTCTTAGGGTTTTTTATCTTATTGCTAATTACTCTGACCCATTCAGTATTATAACTAAGAATTGATTATAGTTCCACTGTAAAGTTTCCTGGATGTATTCTTGCTTCCTACGTTAACTATATTTATACTTTAAAAGGGAGATCATTTTACATTCCAAAAGGTAATTGGAATCAATTAACTGAGTGGATACAAAGCAATATGGACTGACATTAATACCTGTTGCTAGACAGGTACAAGTACAAACGAAGCAGGTGCAAATTGCCACATGGCATGGATTTTATGGAAATCTCTGGTTAACACTTCTTGGTCAAGGTGTCCAAAAGTAGAGTGGGCAAAAAAAGGATAAAAATATAGTGACTACCTAAGAAAGGGACTGAGATGCTACGTCTTCAGTGGCAGTTTCCAGGATACTGGAAGGCAAGTTCTGAAATACTTAGAAATGATAGATTCACAGTTTCCAAGGATACCTTTTGCGTACTTTACCCTTAAAATAATCTTTCTGATAGAAATGCAAAGTGTCCAGAAAATAACGTCTAGAAGAGACTGCATTGCTCTGGGACCCCTTTGCTTTTTGAAAGCTTTGATAGGACTATTGATCGTCCTCTGTTCACTGCGGGGAGTACCTCAACTGTGCATCAAAAAGTATGATGGGAATATCTGAACCCAAGCCTTGAAAAGTCCCACAGCATACCCCTCACTTAAAACACTGAAACCTTTTCTGTAGTCACAATTAGGTAAAGTCACATGGGTGTAGCTGTAGCTCCAAGCTAACCAATGGAGCATGGCAGCTCCGTTTTCTTTCTTTCCACAAACAGTCAAGTGCTGGATAGAGTTTTTGTAGTTGCTGTTACGTAACAAGGAATATAAATTCAGCCCTCAGAAGGGTACAATGTCAGCAGATCTTCCTTGTTTTTAGATGAGTAAAAAGATTGTGTACCACTTTTCCTCATCGTAATCCAAGGTCACGAGAAATGAGATACAAGCGCTTTGGGAAAGTCTTTTGAAAATGATAAGCTCAAGACTTGAACTTACTGTTTGAAGAACAGATGCTTTTTTGATGGCAATATAACCCTGCAGGCTGAATCATAATGATGGAAATTATCAATTCCACCGCAAGACCTTGTGTAGGTCTGCTAAGTAAGCTTCATTTCATTGCTGTTGAATAACAGGGCAGAAATACTTCAGAAGTACTCAGCCAGTACTGGATAGCTCCACAAATTTTAAAAAAACTTGGAGGGCATAAAGTCTCACGTGATTAGTATTAGTTGCAGACTAGAGATGTAGTTAAATATCCCTGATCCTAGGTCTCAGTGTATGAACTGGCACACTCTGGACTGGCCAAACAGAATTCATGGACACCAAATTCATACATCTCAAGAATCCACTCACTGTGCAGAACAGCTGGTAAAAATATAGCTCTGGCCATGACATAGCTGACTCCTCAAATGGGACATATAGAGACGTTTCTGCTCTTTGCAATTCAAGAACAAAATGAAAGAATCAGAAAGGATTGGATGCTCTTGTCCAGGAACGGCATTAAAAAAAAAACAGAGTGCATCACTCCTGTGCTTGTGAATAAAACTCTGCAGCTGTGAATTCGAAATGACACAGTGACACCAAACCTAACAAAGCAGGTTCTTTTTCTCAGAGAGCTACTCATGTTTAAGATGAGTGATAATGTCTTACATATCATTAGTATTAGTTTAGTTAACTAATATATATATATATATA